CGCTCGTTCGGCCTTCTTTCTCGTTTTTCTCTCGGGTATTCACTAGCAGTAGTATATATATATATACCCTGGGTGAGTCCATTTGTGTAAAAAGGGGAGAACCCCTCAACAGAATGTCTGTTTTTGAAAGAGAACATTCCGCAGACATTCACAGGAGATTAGCGAATGCTTATGCTGTACTTGATGTAAGCGCCGTAAGGCAAATTATCAGTACAGTTAACAAGATAAACGGAAAACTGGCTTTAGTGACAGGCCTTACCGTGGCAGTATAGCTTCTGCTGTGTCTGAGAATAATGCCAAAGAGGCTGATAATTTCATTATAATTGCCAGAAGAACCACTATTGCAATGGTGAAAATATGGCAATGTCTATAGTTCAGAGCAGTCACTTGGCTACACAAAGGTTAGTGTAAAGAGGGTTCACATGACGATGACAGGCTCCATAATTGAATCTCAGGACTATGAACAGTGCATGGTCTCTGTCAGATTCACAGTGATTTTCAAACTATGCAGTGTTGACTTCTATGTTCACGCTATCTCTATAGAGATAGACAGCAGTCGTGTCCAATAAGTCGATTGCGATCGACCAGTCGATCGCATAGGTAGTGTGGGTAGATCATATGGCATTAAAAAAAAACAGCCCATCATTCATTCTCACTGCGGCATTTGCCACTTGATTGACGTACAGTACAGCCAGTCTGGGATCTCATTTTTTATCAACACATGGGGTCACTGCGCATGCGCGGCTGAATCGCGCGGGCTACTACAAAACTCGGGGAACTAGTTAGCAGTTTCCAATTCATTTCTACACAAGAAAAGGTCTAAAAATGATTAGGGAAGCTGGACCAAGTAAGAAACTAAAAACGTACCACTTCCATTCGGAATGGGGGAGTGGACATTTTTTTTTTAACAATGTCATATTCGAACTGTATTTGTCTGATTAACCGTCGCTATTCCAAAGAAAAGAAATGTAGAGCGACACTTTCGGGCTGTTTATAAAAACTGACTTCCTACCGAAAAAAAAAACAAGATGAGAAAGAGAAAGGTGAAGAAATGAAAAACACAGTTGTCTGGACAGTCGCCATTTTTCTCACAGCTGACCTCAAAAGCGAAGGCAGCCACCAAAGTTTCGTTCAGGGTGAGTCACATCATTATTAAGCACAAGAAAGCCTTTCATGATGGAGAATTGATAAAAGTGGCATTCGCTGAAGCAGCTGACTTGTCTCGGGAATTTAAAAACAAAGCGGAGATATTATGTTCTGCCAAATCTGACCAATTATCAAGAAATAGTTTCACTGTACTTTGAAGTAATGGCTGATGGTTTGAAGCTGCATTTTTAAAATGACGTCACGGACTGTGAGTGTTTCTCATTGCAATTGGATGAGTCTACATACGTAAGTGATACAGTTCAGTTGTGCATTTTTATTCGGATGGTGTTTAAAGAAATAAAACTAAAAGCAATGCAGATTGCAAAAGAGGAGCTGCTACCATTATTACCCATGAAGAAATACACGCATGAAGAGGACATTTTTTAGTTTTTCAAAAACTTTATCGAGGAAACCCAGCTCCCAGTGTTCAAAATGATATCAATCACGTATGGTGTTCCCTCAATAGATTTATTTCCAGGTGCATAGAGAATAATGCTCTCCCCGACTTCCTTAATTACCACCAACAAGCATTATGCTCAAAAATGCTAAACATGAACGAGATAATGGCTGTGGTAATAAAGATCGCCTGTTCTATACGCACCAAATCTCTTCAAAAATGGCTGTTTCGTGCGCATCTGGAGAAGGCGGACTGCGACCACTCTGAGTTGTTGCTGCACACTGATGTAAGTTGGCTTGGTAGAGGCGAAAATCCCTACAGAGATTTTGAGAGCTCTGTCCGAAGATAAAGGAATTTCTCCTCGTCGCTAAACATGCAGTATACAACCAACTAAATGACGATCAGTGGCTGCTAGACTTGGCTTTGTTTTTTTATCTGAGCAACATGTTGAATGTGCTGAATTTAGAGCTCCAAGGAAAAGACAAAGCCGTAATCAATGCTTTGAAACGAAAAATGAAGCATCTGTCCTCAAAGCTGCAGCGCCATGATTTGGGAAACTTTCAAAATCTCGCGACAGAGTTTGCGACGCAGCAGAAGCCATGTGCGCAACTTGACCGTGAGCGCTGCACACAGGAGACTGAGAATTGTCTGAGTTTGACAGACGCTTTACTCGAGCCAGTTGGTAGATTTATGTGCAACCCATTTCAGGAAAAGGTTTAAGTTGATTCAGTCGCATCAAAAATTGCAATGCTATTTCATCGGATCTCTTCTGGAGTGGAGGATGAGATTTTAATGCTACAGTCATTGAGCTGATGTCCAAGGCTCACGGACTGTTCTGGAACTTACTCACTGAGGAAAACTACACAAAACTAAGGAAATCTGCTACGTTCTTGAAGGCATTATTTGGCTCAACTTATTTATAGTATTTTCCCACGTGGAGATTATTAAGTTTAAATACAGTTTTGTCATGACTGATGAATATTTGGATGTCTGAGGATGGCTATCTGAAGCTACTGTCTGGACTATGCAATCCTGGCTGTTTCCTTACAGTGCAAGTCATCAGAGTAAGGGTAATGGCCAAAAATGTACAGAATTGTATTGTGCCGTACAGGTTTATGCTGTTATGCAAGGTTATCCTCATCATCATCATTCCCTTGACTTTCGTAATCTTAGGGCGGATCCGGATGCAGAAGCCACACAGAATCTCCTCCATAACGATCGATCAACGGCAGCCATCATCAATTCTACTAATCATACTTCTCCATTATTTGACATTGTCCAAACAATTTTTGCGTTGTCGTCCTCCCCTACGTCCACCTTCAACGGTGCCTTGCGTTATGGTTTTGCAAAAGCTGTTGTGCCTTGTAACGTGTCCAAATCACGCCATTTTTTTCCGTTTGACAGTGGCGAGAAGCGGTTCCTGGTAGCCCACACAAGTTTCAACACTTTTCTAATTAAAACAGTGTCATTAGTTTTAATCCTATTTCCAGCAGTGTATCAGCCATTAGGTTATGCAAGATACAACAACATATATTGTAAATATAAGGTATACTTAGTATATATATATATATATATATATATATATATATATATATATATATATATATATATACAGTGCTGTTCGATAAAAGTGACTCACCTGATTTTTTTTACTAAATGTTCTCTTCTCCGATGAAACAAAAGTTGAGCTAAATTTAAAGGATAAGCGATCTAAAATCCGAAGAAGAAGCTTTGAAAGCTCTTTGAATTTAGCAGTAAGTACTGTCAAGCACCCGTTCAGTGAAATGTTCTGGGGATGCTTTTCTTTTCATGGAACTCGTTTCTTAAAACCTATTGAAAAGACCCTCAGCAGCGAACAGTACAAGTCTTGTCTGCTCCCTTCTGTTGAAAGGGTGCAAATCGACCCCACCAAGCTCATTTTTATGCAGGATAATGCTCTCTGTCACAAATCAAAATTGATGAAGGAATACTTTGATGAGAAGCAGGTGAGTGTTATGACATGGCCGCCCCAATCTCCTGACCTCAACCCCATAGAAAACTTATGGAGCATTATAAAGTACAGGCTCCCGAGAAAGCAGTTGAGCAACAAAGAGGATTTGATTGTGAGTTTCATATCCGAATGGAATTCAATGCTTGGAGATGAGATTTGCCAGAACCTAATCAAGTCAATGCCAAAAAGGGTTGAAAAGGTTATTCAAAATAAAGGAGGACCCATAGATTATTAAATATTTCGAACTATATTACCTATTATAAATAAATTATACCTCTATTATTCTTTATTTAAAGCTGTTCGGTTATGTTTCTATTGATTACTAGTTGTAGGAAATAAGTGAATCACTTTTTTTCCCCTAAATCCCATTTATATCAAAAATTATAATTATCAGGAGAATACCTTTGGGTGAGTAAACTTTTTTACTAGGTGGTCAGGAAGGGGTCTTTATATTAGTAACATTAAAAATTAGTTTGACCCCAAAAAACAATAGGCGAAAAAATTTTTAAGTTAAAAAAATCAGGTGAGTCACTTTTATCGAACAGCATATATATATATATATATATATATATATATATATGAACATATATCTGTCTATATTTCTGAGGTATTGTAATTATTTGCATTATCTACACTGTTCGGACTATGCAACCCAAGCTGTTGTACGCTCTCGATTGGAATTTCGTCCACCGGAGTAGATTGTTCTATTTCCACGTGTCATGCCTCTTCCGGATGTCTCAGTTATCTCCCTTTAACTCAACCTGTACCAGGTATTGAACTCTCAACTCTTGAACTCTTGTGCCATATCACTGGATTCAACCAACGCTTTTGTCCACTGGGCCATGTGCCCGTGAGGACATCAGTGTATGGGTTTTGGGGACATAAACTTAATGTCTCAGTAACCTTTTTTTTATCAAAGCTCATATTGCAGTTCTGTTGTTATTATTGTTTTTCTCAAGCACTCGGTATTACTGGTTCCCATATTGTATTGGTTTCTATGCTTGGCCGACTTAGGAGGTTTTTGTGGACTAGCATATATGCCGATTCCTTATGCTTTCGTATTTTTCAGTGATGTTTTCTGTTTATTATTTCAACTTCATCCCACGGGAGGTTCAGTTCAAAATTCCAATCATCTAAAGAAGGCGGAAGCAAGTTGGAAGGAAGTTGGAGCCATTTAGTTTTGTAAGGCAGTGTATCTTATCTGACAAAACAGCAACAAAAAAGAAAACTGCAGTTTTGCAGTCGTCTTTTCTATCTCAACCAAATGAGCTATTAAGAAAATTTACCGAACCTAAAGAGTGGACTCGACGTACTCGATCTGATGTCTACATTAGACGCTAACAACATTGAATCTAAGACAGTAGCTCCCAATATACCTTTTTCATCAATATTTCAACATGTCATTCCCCCGTCTTTTCAAGAATGTTCGACTCAAAAGATGCATTCCAACAAATATGCATATATGGCTTACGGCCATGTCACGTTGAAACACCGATTCTCGTACGACCACTGAAGTTAAGCCACGTCGATCCTGATCAGTGTCTAGCTGGGTGATCTCTTGGGAATATTCGGCGCTGTCAGCTTGGATGTGCGAGTGGTGCAATGGAAGCTCGGTGTTGGAAGCTGGAGTGCCGAGTTCCAGCTCCAGTCGAGTTCGTTATATTCAATTAGGCGCAAATAGCCTTAGGAAAGTTATGAGTTTACCTCTTCTCCCCCAACTATGTGTTGTGGATTCCGGGATGAAATCCGGTCTCCAATGAATGCCAAACGCAGGAAAGAAATATAGCAAATAAATGTATTTACACAATAATACAATTGGTAATACGGTTAGTAGATCCAGAAACGCGGTTAGTAGCAATAATAATATATATACAGTCTCGAAGTAGGACTTCCTTAGAGTCTTCGTGCTTGTAACTGAGACTTCTACAAGCGGTTACCTCACACTATTACTCTACCTCCAACTCAATCACAATCTCCGCTCTCACTACTCTGACTGACTCTAGGTATTTAACGGCAGCAGTCCAAGTACACACTGGTCGAGTCCACTTGTATAAAAAGGGGTGGACCCCATAACACTATGGATTAATTAGTAAGACTTGTGTCACTAAATCATTATTATCTCCAAAAAATCTTACAATCTAGAAGTATTTACTGGGTTTAAATAACCTGAAAAAGGTTGATAAGCCGTAAAAAAATGAATCAATCAATGCACATATTATTGAAAATACATACATATGTATTGAATTTATATTTACATGAATTATTTTTATAGAGGAATTGTTTTTGTTTTGTTTTGTTTGTTTGTTTTTTGCTTGTTTTTTTTTTTTTTTTTTTACACTCGTGATGAACTCCAAATCTTGTAAATAAAAAATAAGAAAAAGTAAAATATCTCCAACTGGTCCCTTTCTTTAATCAACAGGGATAGACTGTTCATGTTTTGGGATATCTCGTCTCGTTCTCTTTTTACTACTGTCCACTTATCGCTTGTCCTGTTTCGACTAAGTGCTAGTCGTTCTGAAAGGGCCCCTGGCTTCCTTGCTCTAAAGGGTGAATGAACCAGAGTAATTAAGATATCAATTTTAAAAAAAATGAACGGTGAGGTATAAAAAACAAGAAACAATAACAAAAAGGAATTAAGACAATGCTGAAAAAAAAACAGCCGAAAATAAATTAATAGTCTCACCACAAAATAAACTAATAGTCTCACCAAAATATAAAGTAATAGTTTCATTACAAAATAAAGTTATAGTTTCACGACAAAATAAATTTATAATCTCACCAAAATATAAACTAATAGTTTCATTACAAAATAAAGTTATAGTTTCACGACAAAATAAATTAATTATCTCACCAAACAATAAAGTAATAGTTTCACGACAAAATAAAGTAATTTCACCACAAATTAAAGTAATTTCCCCACAAAATAAAGTTATAGTTTCACCACAAAATAAAGTTATAGTTTCACTACAAAATAAAGTAGTAGTTTCACGACAAAATGAAATTATAGTTTCACCACAAAATAAAGTAATTTCACCACAAAATAAAGTTATAGTTTCACCACGAAATAAATTAATAATCTCACCAAAAAATAAAGTAATAGTTTCAACACAAGAAAGGAAACATAAATAAACTATGCCTGATTATGTAACTCACTTGACAGTCATTGTGTCCTTTTTTTTACTTTTTTTTTTCTTTTCAGGACGACATATTCCCACGAATGGTCAAGCTGCTGGGGATCGGTATTTTTATCAACTCACCAACTGTTGAGAGAATGCCAACTAAGGCTTTAGAGTTTCTATCGGTCCATTGGCACAACTATCAACGTCTTTCGAACGGTTTCGTCTACCCAGTTTCACTCACAAGGCTTGGGTCAACAAGTAATGTAGTTTCCAGCCACTTTCTTCACTAGTCTACCATAGTGAGATTCGAGCGCTATAACCATTTCCATTCAGCCACACAGAGCACAGTATTCAAACACGAGTGAACACTAGAAAAGAAACAGCAGTATATATTAGACTATGTCATGGTTCACTATGAAGGTAGCAGCTTCGTTCTAAACACTGCCTGAAGTGACCATGTGTAAATAGTGCTCACCTACTCCGTCAACCGTCATGACATATTTTGGAGATAGCTGTCGATGAGGCAGAGCGTAGAGAGAAGTGGATTCTAGTCTTAATGCCATTATGCGTACGCGGCCATTAACAGACTCAGCTGAAATTTTTAGCTTGCTTAGCCGATTGCATTTGCCGTGCTTTCTCGGAAATAAAACTAACAGCAATAAAGATTTCTTTTATAAAGTAATCGTTGTTACAGTAGGAAAGAAGAAGAAGAAGAAGAAGAAGAAGAAGAAGAAGAAGAAGAAGAGGGAAGGCGGGAGAAGATGAAAAATAGAGAGAAGAAGAAGAAGAAGAAGAAGAAGAAGAAGAAGAAGAAGAAGAAGCGAAGTTGGGAAGGCGGGAGAAGATGAAAATTAGAGAGAAGAAGAAGAAAGCGGTGTTGGGAAGGCGGGAAAAGAAAGAGGTGATGGAGAAGAGAAGAAGAAAAAGAAAGCGAAATTTGGAAGGCAGAAGAATTAAGAGATGATGAAGAGGAGAAGGAAGAAAAAGAAGAGAAAAAGAAGAGCAGAAAAGGAAGAAGAGGGTGAAAGAGTAAGAAGTGATAGAGAATCAGGAGGAGGAGGAAAAATAGAAGAGGAGAAGTTTAAAGCAAAAAGGAGGAGGAAGGGGGATAAAATGGGGAAGGAGGAAAGAATAGTTAGGATAAGGTGAAGATAAGAAAGAAGAAAACGAAATGGAAGAGTAGGGAGAAAAGAGCAGAAGAATGAGTGGGGAAGAGAGAAAGATGTTGGAGGAGAAGAAAAAAGAAGATGGTGGGCTACAGGAGAAGTTTAAAGGAGAAGGGAAAAGGAGGAGGAAGATGAATAGAAACAAGAGAAGAAAAGGCAAAAGAAGGGGGAGGAAAAGAGAAGAAGGAGAAAGGAAGAGGAGAAATAGCAAAAGAAGGGGGAGGAAAAGAGGAGGAGGAGAAGAGAAATGAGAGAAGGAGAAAGAATAGGAAGAAAGAATAGGAAAAAGAGCATATGAGAGAAGGAGAAAGAAGAAGAGGAAGAAAGAAGAGGAAGAAGAGCATATGAGGAGGAGGAGAAAAGAGGAGAGAAATAATGTAGGAGAAAAGACAAAAGGGTGAGGGGCTGCATGAAAAAGTTAGAGAAGACGAAAAGGAGGAGAAAGAGCGAGAGAAGCAAGAAGGGTGAAATAGAAAAGGCGGGCATGGAAGAAGCGGGGATTAAAACAGAAGAAGAAAAAGAAGACGAGGAGCAAAGAAAAGGAGAAAAGAAAAAATGGATGAGAAGAAAGAAGACGAATAAAAGGAGAAGGAAAACAAAAGAAGGAAAGAAGAAAGAAAAGAAAAGACAGGACAGAAGGAGGAGTAAAAAAGGAGAAGTTGAAAGATGGGAAAAGAAAAAAGAGAAGAATGAGAAAGAAGAAGAAGAAAAAAGAAGAAGAAGAATGAAGAGCGGGGAGGAGGAGGAATAATGAAGAAGAGAAAGAAGAAAAAGAAAGCGAAGTTGGAGAGACGGGAGATAAAAGAGGTGAAGGAGAGGAGAAGGAAGAAAAAGAAAAGCGAAATTTGGGAGGCAGAAGAATTAAGAGAGAGAAAGAGAGGAGAAGGAAAATAAAAGAAAGCGAAATTTGGGCGGCAGAAGAATTAAGAGAGAGAAAGAGAGAGAGAGAGAGAGATAAGGCTGGTTTTCTTCTATTTAATGACTTTTCAGTCAATTTTCTCAGGTTGTAAAATCTTGAGAATTCTGATTTGTATAAATGACTACTTTTGCAAAACAATCAAAAGAAATCGGATAAAACCAACCCCACTCTACCTGACCCGTAGGGCGGGAAATCATCAGAGACGGTCAAGACTTAAAAAGCGTTATTTAATAAAGCGCCTATTTTCGAAGATCTTTCTACTATTGTATTTCTCAGCTCATACATCAAAATCACCCTCAGCTGTGGCACGGCTTCCACCAGAAATCAATGCCTGATCAATACTAGTAGCAAAGGAAAAATAAAGTTCCCCTGGGTTGATCCGGTAACAGCGGGGATAGCAGCGGTTTAAGGGGAGGTCTTTCAGTATCGGGTAATTAACCTTAGGGTTGAAATGTGCGAAGCGTTCGGGGCAAATCTGCATATTGGAACGGCGCTGCTGTAAGGGACAGTGGGTTAGGGGAGATAAACCCCGGATATAGGCGACTTTTGTAGGGTGACTCTATCCCTAAGAATGACTGATTGATTGAATGATTGATTCATTTTTTACGGGTTATCAACACTTTTCAGGTTATTTAAAGCCAGAAAATATTTTTAGATTGTAAGATATTTTTTTTAGATAATAATGATTTAGTGATACAAGTTTTATTAATTAACCCATAACTGAGATGTTGTGGGGATTATACATTATCCAAAGGTATTTGCGCTTAAGTGGATATAACGAACCCGACTGGAATTGGAACTCGGCACTCCGATTGACAATTCTTAATCATTACACCAGCCGCACATCCAAGATTGGTTTTCCAGTTGCTTAACTTCTGTGATCGTATATCCCAAGGAAAGTGTTTCAATATTCAAAGTAGTATGTAAATAATAATAATAATAATAATAATAACCCGTACCCATCGGTGGCTACGTAGTGCAGGGTTGAAAGCAGAAACTGAAGGTTTTATCCTTGCTGCGCAGGACCAATGCTTGCTAACTAGGAATTATCAAGCACATATACTAAAATATTGTGTCAGCCCAAAATGCAGATTTTGTGATAAATATCCAGAAACGATTGATCATCTTGTATCAGGTTGCATGATATTGGTACCCACTGAATATAAAACCCGGCATGACAGAGTGGGCCAATATCTGCACTGGAAAATCTGCAACTTCAACGGGAAGGAAACTGAAAGAAACTGGTATGAACATCACCCAAACCTGGTTACGGAGATAGGATCTGTTACAATTCTATGGGACTACACAATACACACTGACAGAACAATCAAAGCCAACCGGCCAGATATTGTTATTAAAGACCACAAACAAAAAAAGTGTCTCCTTATTGATTTAGCAGTCCCTGCAGACTGCAATGTATCTTTGAAGATATTCAAAAAGCTGTCAAAATACAAGGACCTTGAAATAGAAATCTCAAAAATGTGGCATATGGGAACATCAACAATCCCTGTTGTAGTTGGAGCCCTAGGATTGTTTGGAAAAGATTGCAGTAGACTAATTGAAGGGATTCCTGGAAGTCCATGCCTCAAGGAGATACAAAAAATTGTTCTGATAAGTACAGCCCACACTTTACGAAGTGTCATGATGTCATCTCTAACCTTAGGTCCCTGGGCGGGACACGGAAAGAAATCTGTAAACGCCAGGAATCAAAGGAAATAAAAATAATAATAATAATAATAATAATAATAATAATAAACAAAATAGTTGATGTAAGTCTTTCAATATTTTTCAACAATTAAGATAAGAGCGCGATATAATGCTGTCAATTACAAACTATGGAACATGCACACTTAATGACTTTGAAACCTTAACACTCCAGACAAAGCACCTTAACAAAGCCTCTCTCAGCCTTACAGCTCCAGTGATGCCTGGCCCTTCTGATCCTGTCTGAATCAACTCCGAACTGGTGTTGGTTGCTGTAGAGCCAACCCCCAGAAATGGGGATATGCCACAGATGATGATCCCAACTGCCAATCCAGGCAATTACAAATTATGGAACATGCACGTTTAATGACTTTCAAAACCTTAACTCTCCAAACAAGGCAGCTTAACAAAGTGGAAAACAGACTCTCTCTCAGGCTTACAGCTGCCTGGCCCTTCTGGTCCTGCCTGAATCACCTCCGAACTGGTGTTGGTTGCTATAGAGCCAACCTTCACAAATGGGGATATGTCACAGATGATGATCCCAACTGCCAACACGGGCAATTACAAATTATGGAGTATCTTCTAGTTGGCCCCTAATCTTGAAGATTAATGCACACTGAACGACCTTAACACTTCAGGCCTGTCTCTGTGTGCAACACTGGATGATTGTAGGGTAGCGACTCATTAAGAAGGTCATACGGAGCCAAACCAGTTTCTTAATGTAATATTCACCCAGTTGAAATTCCCTTTCGAATTTGTCGGCTTCCTTTATTGCTGAATAAGGTTTCTTATTTCTTTTATGCTCTTTGACATAGATCAACAACAATTATTATTATTATTATTATTATTGTTGTTGTTGTTGTTGTTGTTGTTGTTGTTATGTTACGCCCGTCTCTCTGCATCCGTGCTCGTAAATGCATCGAGCGTAACCTAGGAAAAGATTAAATATATTGGAGCTCTAGTTTCCTCCTTGCCTTATTTCTGATCAAGTTTGAAATGTTTCCATATTGGGGAGGGGGAAAAACAGAACTACTAGTCTGTCCCTGTGGTGGAGCCACCTCAACAACATAAAACACAGGCTATCTCCCAGCCCTAGAGAATCCTCCCCACGGCTCCAGTGATGCCTGGCCCTTCTGGTACTGTCTGAATCACCCCCAAACTGGTGTTGGTTGCTGTAGAGCCAACCTCGAGAAATGGGGATATGCCACTGATGATGATCCCAACTGCCAATGTGGGCAATTACAAATTATGGAGCATCTTCTAGTTTGCCCTCAATTTTCAAGATTCATGTACACTAAACGACTTTGAAATCTTAACACCCTAGGTAAGGGTCTGCGTGAAACACTGGATAGGTGTGGGATATCGACTCGATAAGAAGTGGGGTCTTTGTGGACAGATATCGTTTCTTTATGAGGTCTAGGCATTCAGTAATTTCCAAACTTTCAAGGCGGTTTTTAATGGATGAGAAGAGGAGGTCTCTATTCATGTGGTCATATGCTGTCGGGAGGTCAACATAGCAGCTCTACAATTTTCTTTTGGAATGGTAGGTAATTTCTGGGAGTTGTTTGATGATATATATGCCATCATTACACCCCTTAGCAGAACGAAAGCCAAATTGGTTCATTAGATGCTGACTTTCTTAATATACATAATTATTATAAAACTTATTATTAATTATGATGTATTATCAATTCACAGTTAAGAGTTAAGAAAAGAGTGCGCTTTAAGAAAAGAAAAAATAAAGAAAAAACAGTGTTGATGATGTTAAACGATATTATAAAAGAATGTCTTTTACAAGTTATCTTGTTTAATTTTACAAGTATAGAAATATATAAATCTACAAAAATATAAGTCTTTGTACAAACGTTGCTTGTCTACGATTTAATATTGATTAAATTCATTAGTTGTGGCGCAAGGCTGAAAATGAGGGGGATAGGTCAATGCTGGTTGAACGTTGCTTGTCTAAGATTTACATAATTGTGACCCAATGCAAGTGGAGAGACTGTTCAAGATTGGTCATCACTAACTATCTTATACTTAGCTAATCAGATTTACGACTAATCCATTCTTTATAATATACTCATTCACCATAAGAATTAATCCGTCACCATTCGCTCCTTCATACACCAAAATACCTAAACACACTTGGCATTTTGTTTCAACACCTCCGGTGTCTTATCAAGTGATGATGTTGAATGTAAAATAAAAAAGCTATATATATATATATATATATATAAGCTATATATATAAGCTATATATATATTTATTATACACAATTGTGCATATTGGGATCTTTAACTCAACATTTTTTTCCCCAAAATGGCTACTGGGGAAAAAAAATTTATGAGTTAAAGATCCCAATATGCACAATTGTGTATAATAAATATATATATATATATGTGTGTGTGTGTGTGTGTGTGTGTGTGTGTGTGTGTGAAAATATATAGAAAATAGGAAAGAACTGGTTAGGTAAATAATCCAAAGTTCTTTAGTATTTTTGTTATTATATTTTTAAAATAGTGCTCGATACAAAAGTAGAGCATAAATATAATTATTTATTTAAAAATATGATTCCAACACGCTACATAAGAGGTCTCATGTTTCAAAACAAGAGCCGAAAACTTCACTATAATTATTTGAATTAAATTGAATTAAAGTAAGCTCTGTTCCATCTTCAAGCGAAATTCTTTTTGGAATTCCAACAAAATCAAGAGGTTCTCACGCTAAAGGAGAAGGGAAGGATAAAACATTAAGAGCATTATTGTTAAATGTAAAAATCTAACGATAAAAAGGCTGTACTGTTAGTAAACGCATCAAAACGAACGAAACGATGCCAACATGAATAAAATGCAATTGAAACGTGCTTAATGGAATGGTGATCTTGTTCATCTTGGAATATTCCGTTAGTTGATTAGTTAATAAAAGGAATTAATCAAACAGCTTATCTTATGGAACTCTCCTGTCTTTCTGTTCATTTACGCGGGGTGGGAAGTTAATAATTTGCTTACATAAACATCTTCATGCGTTTTAGGATCCAAAAGGTAATACTAAAGATCTTTGGATTATTTACCTAACGAGTTCTTTCCTATTTTCTATATGTTTGACAATGTTAAACAGTATTTCGACAATATGTCTGTTTTCTTCAAGTTTTAAAAAAAATTTCAAATCTAAAAATATATAAATCTACATAAAATATCGTACAAAAAATGCTTATCTATAATGAAAAAACGGCTGTAATGTTTAATGAACGCGTCAAAACGAATGAAACGCCCCCAGCTTGAGACATGCAACTGAAATGTGCGTAATATAATGGTGATCTTGCTCATCTTGGAATTTTCTATCAGTTGATTATTTAAGAGGAATTCATCATATTGTTTAGTAGAAATCTTATGGAACTCTCCTGTCATTATGTTTATTACACTGGCCGAGAAAGTTAGTAATTTGCAGACGTAACTGTGCCCTTTAAGGGTCGAAAAGTCTGTAGGTTCCGAATATATTTTCAGAATTAAGATGCTTGTTGAAATTACAGTCGTTTGTTATAAAATGTTCTGCAACCCACGTTGATGTCATATCGTTGCTGCCTGAATTTTTTACTTAATTTTTTCGTTGTACAACCCACATAAATCAAGTCATATTTGGTAGCACTATATTAGTATAGTAGGCCAGTCGTATTCGAGGATACCCGTCTTACTAGGGCGGTTAGCCAATCCCTATTGCAGACGCTTGCTCAGGCGCCTTTGTGTTTATTAAACACCTACAGAGTCCACCTGTGGTTTAAACTGCAACTATGCAGACCTTAGTTACAGTTTCCGGGTGTGTTGTCTAACGTGATCAGCAATTTGAACAAGGCCAGCACGCTCAAGCCCACGACAACTTGTGACTGCGTGCTAGCACAACGATCAATGGCCCCAATTTCATTCACAAGGCTTGGGTCAACCCGTGGTATGGTCTCGGATTGACCCCTCCAGTCCGATAACAGGAAGTCTCTTTCCTAATAAATCGACCATGGTGAGATTCGAACCCGGGTCTCGTGGTCAGAATGCCAACGTTCTAACCACTCGGCCATACTTGCATATATTATATGGAAATCAGTACAATTATCATTATTATGAAATGTATTTCATATGTATTACTAATTATTATTAATTATGTATAATACACATAATCATTATATGACTTGCTAATTCAGTGTTAAAATATTTGTTTGCCATGGCGTAGTTTCTATGTCTTTCCTGTTTTAGGCTGGGAGGGGGTGTCTCATGTTAAAACACCGCTTCCCATACGATCACAGAAGTTAGGCAATATCCAACATAGTCATTACCTAGGTGGGTGACCGCTTGGGAATACCAGTTACAGTAGGCCCGGATGTGCGGGTGGTGTAACGGATAATGACTCGCTATCTTTAAACGGAGAGCCGTGTTCCAATTCCAGTTGGGTTCGTTATGCTCACTTACGAGCAAATATCCTTGGAAAAGGCATGAATCCACTTCTTCTCTTTCCAGCTATGTGTTCATTAATAAGACTCGTATCACTCAATCATTATTATCCATCGCCCTGTCGGCTGGGGGCTTCACAATACGCCGACTGCACCTCTGCAGAAGGGTAAGACCCACCCCCAAATGAGGTGTCCTGGGTAAGACGATAAATTACACCCGACACAAGGCCTCTTGGTTAGGAGGTTTCGAGGAGCGTGGAACCACCTCTTAATTGCTGGTGTTCCCAGGTCCACCCTAACCCTAAATATCAATATGAAAGAAGAAGTAAAAAGTACGTATTTTTACAAAGTTCAATTTGTTCAGGCACAAGGGATGTAGTGGGTGCACATGGACAAATGGTTTGCAAGATTAGCTTGTTAACTGCTACTATAAATAATTCCTTTCTTTAGGTTAGACCAAGGGTCGTCAACCTACGGCCCGCGGGACGGATCCGGCACGCGAAGGCATTTTGACCGGCCCGCGAGCCTGATTATCAATGACTATTTTTAACATGAGAGACGACCTTCAAATGAAATTTGTTATATGTCATTTTCCATAGAATGTCTACACATCTCAGTGCACTAAAAATATTAGACTATCTGAAAGTTATCTTTCAAGAGACTTATTTTACCAAGTTGCGTTGCCTACGTTTAATGTCAAATAATGGATACATATTTGTTATGACCCTTGGCTACATTAAAAGATAACAGAAGCGAAAGGAATGATATAGTGAAAGAGGCCAGGGGAGGGACTGACATGCGAGGTAGCAGAAATCTAAACATTTCAGTTAAACATACGCGCATTATACATACATGCCTCATGAATGTGGATGTTACCATGTGTGTACGTTAAGTGTATGTTTTGAAACTATTTGTACTCGTATGTATGGGTATATGTGCTTCGTTTTTTGTTTGATGTGTGTGTGGTTCGTTTGTGGAACAATTTTCAATAACAGTTTCAAACTTACGTCATAATTTCATCCATTTCACTTCGGTTGATTTTTTTCACATTGAAGTATTTTGACGTTCCTTGAGGAAACGTAATTTTTGTTAGTTTTTTTTTTAATTTTAGATTTTCTTTTGTTTTTCTGATTTCTCAATGTTTATTTTCATTATGGTTTTAAATATTTAGGTTGACAGGGGGTCTGCATATGTAATTTTCCTTAATTTTTCATTAATGGCCATCGTCCGGCCCGTGACCCGTCATTATAACAAGATCCGGCCCGCGGGGTCGAATGAGTTGCCACACGGACGAAGAGGAATCGTATGTTGCGCTAATTTCTAAGTGGGGATGGTTTACTTATCAATAATGAAACTTGTCAGATTACAAAGGCTCGATCACCGACCGACGTGACCAGTAAGAAGTACGTAACTAACTCAGCCACCGATTACACCGAGGAGCCTTTAATAATTATGGAAACAAAAAAAAATGATGAATAAAAAGTGGGAGATACGGAAGAAGTTGGGGGATAAATAATAATAAAAATAGAAATTGGGGTAAACAAAATGAAAAGGAGGATAAGAGAAAACAGAAGAAGAATGATAAGAAGATGAAGAAGGAAGGAAGTAGAAGGAAGGAAGAAGAAGAAGATAAATGAGAAAAGGGAGGACAAAGAGAAAAGAAGGAAGGGGAAAGGAATGGCTGAGGTTGGAGCAGAAGAAGAAGAAGACGAACACGAAGAAGAAGAAGAAGAAGAAGAAGAAGAAGAAGAAGAAGAAGAAGAAGAAGACGAGGAAGAAGAAGACGAAGAACAAGAAGGAGACGAAGAGAAGAAGAAAAAGAAGACGAAGACGAAGAAGAAGAAGACGAAGACGAATACGAAGAAAAAGAAGCCGAAGAAGAAAACGAAGACGAAGAAGCCGAAGAAGAAAACGAAGACGAAGAAGCAGAAGAAGAAGACGAAGAAGAAGAAGAAGAAGAAGAAGACGAATACGAAGAAGAAGAAGCCGAAGAAGAAGAAAACGAAGACGAAGAAGCAGAAGAAGAAGAAGACGACGACGAAGAAGAAGAAGAAGAAGACGAAGAAGAATGTAAACAAGAAAAAGAAAGAAAAATGAAGTATCAGATTTTTTTTTAATGGAAGGCAGAAAAAACGGAAATAAATAAAGAAAGAGCGAGAGAAAAGAAGATTCGAAAGAAAAAGAAAAATAATTCAAGAAAAATAAGTGAAAAAAAAGGGATAAAAGATAAAAGCTTTATAAGAAAAAAATAAAACGTACGAGCCTGAAATAAAGAAAAAAAAGTAACAAAAAGAAGAACCGGAAAAAATAACTTCCTGTTGTTTTTTTTTTTTATATATATATATATATATATATATATATATATATATATATATATATATATATCGTGTTCAAACTTTAAAGAAACTATTTCTATTTGTGTTTAATGTGCAACGATATAAATGAAGACAAAATACACTAAAATCAATCAATTATTATTTAAAGAAAAAAGTTTTACAATAAAAAAACGATATGATCGATTAAACTGATTCAATTTACGGCGATATTTGTTAAGAGGAATGTATTCAACGACATGTCTTAAAATGACCTCCTATCACTCAGCAGACAATGATTTTCCCTTCGTTATAGAATTTGGGCAGAAGAAGACGTTGTGCTGAATAAGTAATCTCGTACTCAGTAACATTGTCTTCTTTTATATGTCATATTCCTTTCAGGGCTTAGGCGATGAAGGCTCTCTACTACTTCCACTCCTCTGCCTTCTCAAAGTAACTTTCTGACTCTTATGACCACACCTACACAAACTAATAGCCAGACACACCGTGTCACGAGATCAGGTAGACAGGTTAGGTGGCCTAAGCGTCGGCTAAAATTATCATTTTTTTCGATATTTCCTTCGGGGGAGTATTGTAGGTATACAAAAATATGAGCAACAGCTCATGTTTTCCCACCAAAAAGTTGTTATGTCAGCCCCCCCCCCGAAAAAAAAAAACTTCTAGTTGGGATTGCACCAGAAAAATGACAGCAAGCATGTAACACCGTGCGTAAACTGAAGCGACTGTAACGAAATAAAATTGATTTGCCTCTAAAATTAAAATAAGGTTAGGGAATAAATTAACAAATGATATTGCTAATATTAGCCGTTTCCTTATAAGGAAACAATCGGCGTTCATTGATTGGGCAGTTTGTACTACTGTTGGTTGAATTTTATAAAATCTTTCTCTTAAAAACAATATTTCAGGGAAAAGTCCAGTAGCTGTTATCGCTCTTTCCAGCGAGTTTTCTTCTTAATCTTTTTATTTGAAATAATGTGAAATATCACCACATGATGTAATTATTTTCTTTTCAAGTAGCATGTGATATCCTCTTACTACTGTTGAAAGCCCTTTTTTTGTTTGTGATTGTGTAGCTCCAGTTTACAAGATTCGGAGAAGTGAGGTCTTCAGCTAGGCTCACAGACAGCATTAAATTCCCCTTATTATCAGATTATATATATATATATATATATATATATATATTATATATATATATATATATATATATATATATATATATATATATATATATAATGTTTACGTTATGATAGTCCCCGTTCAATAAATTTTCTTCTATGTGACCTGCGTTTAAGTTTTATGTACATTCGATTTTCTAAGTTTGCCTTATCGGGAATAGTTGCCTAGGTGTCGAGTCTAACCTAACCCAACAAAATCTTTTTACTACTCATTTTTGCCTTTGTTTTGTCACTCATTCAAGGGATTCGGCATGGGGCTAATAGTTTACGAACCTAGTCAGACTGAACAATAATACAGAGTAGTGAGTTCGATCCTGCCTGCCGCCTCACCTCTACAAAATTCGATAATAAATAACTAAGGGTTGCTAAATCGCAAATGTCACCAACCTAAACTAACCGTCCATTTACACAAAGTTAATTTCCTCCAGTTTCTCTTATCTTCAATAAGCCCTGTGAGTGTTATATTCTCCTGGCCTTCTTTCTTCATTATCGGTCCCAGAAATGTGAACTGTCTCTAAAGCTATACATCAGGCATCAATTTACTTTGTTAGATTAACGCCCCTCTGACGATAATAACAGATGGGCAAGACACGTTTCTTCTCGCTCCGATAGATACGAGGCGTGTAAGTACCTCAGATACAATCTGAAGATTGTTTAGAACTGTTCATAATCTCAATTTCGTTCTCTTTCTTTATCCTTCTGTGACATATCTCATTTATTAATTACTAGCTTAAAACCCTCACTATAAGACGCCATTTAAGCTAGCTCCGTTATCACAATAGGTCGGGAGGAGTAGATGCGATAGGAAGCGATAAACTACAGAAGAACTCATATTTAAGCAAACTTTTTAAAAGTTCAACGCTAATTCTTCTTTCACCACTTAATTTAAAGACAATTTGGTGCACGTAGGTCCTTATTTTTATTTCATGGGCGACTTTCGCTGGATTTCGCAATTAATTTTGCTTATTCCCAAATTTATTTCCAAGTTATAAAAGTTGTTATCGTACAAAAAGATGTTTCGCAAAAAATCACGTACAAAAATCGCTGAAAAAAATCGCAGCAATGAAAACTTGGGAATCCAAAATTTCAGGATTGGGGGTCTGCATCCGACCCAGAATGTTTTTAATTTGCTCACGGAGGTGGCTTGATTCCAAAAAGGTATGATATATCAGGCTACGTTTCTTCAGTGAAAAAAAAGTATGAAACACTGACATTCGCATTTATGATATAGAAGAAAAAACAAGATCTTGTCAATAGATCTTGTTATATATATATATATATATATATATATATATATGAAGAAAAATATACGGAAAAAAAAACAAAAATGTTAATATGCAATTATGCTGTTTTATTGTTAATATAATGTCAACGTCCGACGTTTCGGTCTAATAGACAATCTTCAGGACATATTCATAAAACATAATTAACACAATTTTCACAACATCGCCCACGTGACAACGACGTGATCATATTTAAACGGAACGCTGATCTTATAAAAGATTTCAGTTATATGTTTGGATTAGTCTTACTCTTATGTTCATCGTCTTTTTCATGTTGAAGTGAATATGGTTTAATGTTAATTATGTTTTATGAATATGTCCTGAAGATGGTTGTTAGACCAAAAAACGTCCGACGTTGACATTATATTAACATTAAAACAGCATAATGGCATATTAGATTTTTGTTTGTTTTTCCATATATTTTCATACTGTCGGATCTATATTCATATATTTATATATTTATATATATATATATATATATATATATATATATATATATATATATATATATATATTGTATCTTTTTGGGAATCAAGCCGAATCCATGAGCAAATTAAAAACATTCTGGGTCGGATACGGACCCCCAATCCTGAAATTTTGGATTCCCAAAAAGAGTTGTTTCCCTTTAATTGAAAAAAGTGTGACACAAAGACATTCGCATTTATTATTGTCATATAAGAAGAAAATGAATAACTACTGACATCGAGGCTCGATCGTGACACTCTGAACTTATGAAGATATGTTTTTCGGGGTGTATGATGAATAATTCGCCCGTCAAATTTGGTGTATTTAACCTATTGTTCGGAAAATTAAGCTTTATATCCTTTTTGGGGTCTCATTAATGTGGCACCCTGCATTATTAGAAAAACTAAAAAGAAATATTCATAGAAATATGATTTAATTTTTATTCGGTTTATTAACCAGTTGTTAGTTATTTAGACGAAGAATAATTGAATTTTGAGAATAATTCTCTAATTGTATTTAGGCAATCCTAAGGGAAGAAGAAGGAAAAAAAAAAAAGGAAAAGAAAGAAAAAGAGAGGAGAGATGGATAATGCAAAAGCCGGTCATAAGCAAAAAACAGGTGTCAAAGAGATATCTAGGCCAACGCGCCTGACCGAATTTCACGAACAATAGAAATTGTTATTTGAAAGAATAAGTTTAGAGATAATAAAAGAAAAAGAAAGGGAACATGATACAAGTGAAAAGACATCAAGACGGACGATTAATAAAATCGGTCAAAACACCTGGCCTACTTTTGTGTCCACGGAATGTGGGAGCTCATTATCAATTTGGAGAAATGGGATTTTTAGAACAATGGAAAAAGAAATATTAATCGAAAAGGGGTGTCTTTTGGGTGAGAGGTGACCGCTGGAATTGTATACAGTTTGACCAGCTCTAGAGTTGAAGATTAGAACCCCCACGATGATAAAGTGAAGATATTTTCAATTCAGATAATTAAGATTTTGACTATCAGGCCTGAGCGAAAATAAAGGAATGAAAACAATTGTTTTGGCTCACAGAAAGCGCCAGCAAGACGAGAAAAATTCTTCCTGAAGTCACATCTAATTAGCGGCGGGCTGTTTTGACAAAAGCCAAAAAGGTGAGAAAGACCGAGATTGTCATTTTCGTGCGTGCGAAAAAAGGCCAAATTGGATTTTGTTTTTTAGCAAGGTGTTCTTCCCCAGAACAGAGCCCCGGATAGGCCACGCCCGATTGGAGACGTCACGAAGGACGCCCAACCAGAATCTCATTAGCCGAGAGCGGTCACGTGATATGCGAGAAAGAGGAGAAAGGACGCTCGACCAGGACCCATTGGACGAAAACGGTCACCTGACATACGAGAGACCGGGAGAGATGGGTGTGCGCTTCCCCCACAGAGGCACTGTGAGGAAGTAGGGGTGAGAGTAAGAGCGATAATGGGAAATCAGAAATAGTGCGACTTTTGGAATTATCAAGAAAACCCTAGCGCCGACAGACCCACCCCAGTTTGTTACGGCGTCAATAAAAGCAGAACCCCAACCGACAGAAATCAGTTCCCCGGACGGCAGCGAGAAGAGTTGAGTTCAGCCCCGGACGACAGAGAGCTCAGTTCACCCCAGACGGCAGAGAGAAGAGTTCGGACCTTGGCGAGAAGCGTTGCAGGGCGGACGAAGAAGAAGTTACTTGCAGTTGCGCATAGAAGAAGTTGAAATCAAACCAAGCCTAAGAACAGAGATTCGTCCAACCCAAATCGAAGTGAAGAAATTCGTCCAACTCAGGCCGAAGTGAATAAGCTCGTCCAACTCAAGCCGAAGAGAAGAATCAGCCGTGAAATTAGCGCCCAGTGTCGAAACCAAACCACACTCCGACATACAAAATTCTAGAGAGTAGGCAAAAAGAAGTCTTTAAATTGTATGGTAGAAGCTTGGTGCCACAGTCCACAAAACGGGTCGGGAAGTAAGAATAATTTTTATGTAACGAACATTAGATATAAAAGGTTGTTACCCTTTTTTTATCAGTAATTTTTGGCCTCGTGAGTTTTTTCTTTTACTTGTGTGTTGCCACCCCGTCGAACTCAACTTGCATACGGCCCCAATCCCTGTCTGATCCCGTCTGTCTAAGATCTAATCACAACGTGGGTAGGCAGACCGGAGATCAGTACAGTTACCCTAGTAACCAGGTGTTGGAAGCGAGTTGGGAACGGCGAGGCTGGTAATCATCTAACCAAAGGGTTAGAGCGTCACACTTGGAGCAGCGAGGAGCGAACAGCTGACGCCGCGGCAAAAACGTCACAACTGGTGCTGTCCGTGACAAGGATCGACCCTTGGGCGGCTACATCACGTCACGTCACAATTGGAGCCGCGAACGAGATCGAACGACAGAGTCGACGCTGCGACCAGGGGGGGCGACGTCACATTAACATACAAAACACCTGACATCATACTGGCATTAGATTCGGAGAAATGGATAAAAATATTCAAGATTGATGATTGTAAGAATAATTTCGCCATTATTATAAAATATATTGTTGGTAATTTTACTATATAAATATATTTTTATATTTTGCTACTGTTCCACTGATTGTCATTTTGCTATAAAAAATATATTGTTGGTCAATTCATTATACAAATATACTATTAATTTTTGTTTGAGGGTTCACTATTTGCCCGTAGTTGGGACCCTAACAGATGCTACCACCCCAAGTCAGGGTGGAACGGGGAACAACAGCAATTAAGAGGTGAGTCCACGCTGCTGAAAATCTCCAATCTTCAGATCAGAGATCTTACTGACGGATTTAGTTTATCAACATACCCAGGACGAGACTCAAGTATAAAGACGACCGTTGTTTACATATAGACTCAAGTATAAAAATAACCAATGTTTGCATATAGACTCAAGTATAAATATAATCAATATTTTCAAATAAAAGGTGCTTCATTAAGACGGATTATATATAAGGGTGTTTCATTAAGACGGATCAAAGTCAGCAGTAAATAAATCAGTGTTATTGGTGAAAATGTATTTATATCTCCAGTGGATCATGTTATTTAAGTCATGGCAATTATGTGTGAAAAATAATATCACCCAAATTTCCGCCAGATCTGAAAGAAAAAGAGAAAAATCATTAAACGCTTAAACTTAATTCAAATTTAAAATCGGTCCAAGTTATTGGAACACCCTTTACACACA